AGAGCCCACGATAACAATATCGTGCATATTCATTACCGTGATATATCGCATTACCGAAAACCGGCACAAGTCTATTTGGAAGTGAGCATTATTCTTACAAAATAAAAGGAGATAATCATGATAAAACAAAAAGATGGAGTTGTTTTTTTACATTATCTAGCTCGTTCTTATAACAGCCACAGTAAGTGTCAGTGCCATCAATTATCAGTTCACTTATAAACATCATTAGTAGAGCTGTTAGACAAAAACTTCCTGATAATCTTGAGGTGTTTTAATTAAAACAAAAACAACAATGTTACAGAAAATTGTAAAAATAGAAAGAAAAAAATATATATACTCAAGCTATACAAACAGACCAAAAGAAACTAGAGTGCAAATTATATATATATATATATATATATATAAAAATGGGCCACATACTTACCATTTGCTGGAATTGTTACATTGTATTGCACAGTTATGAACAAAACCGCTACCTTTGATGTAATCTACATGGAAAGAAATATAAACATGCAGTCAATACACAAATAAAGTAATAGTTAATCTCAAAATGAAAACTCTGGCAATAGAGAACGGCAGCCGGACTGTCACCATTCACTTGCATTGTATGTAAAATAAGGTTTACAATGCAAATGAATGGTGTTAAAAAATAAGTCATGCAGATTTTAAGCAACATGAGGGAATGTAAATGACAGTATATATTTTTTTGTGTACATTTTTCCCTAAGTGAATGGTATATATACTAATTATAATCAGTTTCTCATCAAACACATTTTCCAAGATATTATAATTTATAGATGAGAATACAATCACTTACTTAAATCTGTTTAGAAATGCCCATTAAGAGCAAAAAATCAGTTCCAGTAGTGTAAACTTCATTTCCCATGATGCACCAGCGCTGATATTTAGCAAACTATCGTTCAAATCTAACGGTTGTGCAAACTCGTATTCCTAACGAGTGCTGAGAGTGTAAAATCATTAGGTTACTATCAGTAAAAGCATTTTGGTAACAAGAATCGTGACCCTGCTGCCGCTGTGCACCGGTGACAACGCTCACTCATTCTCCGATTGCCACGTAACACTTCATTTGCGCGTAAAAGTATCAGGGCAGCTACAATGTTACGTAATCGTCTTCACAAACCAATTCTGTTATTCCGTTCAACACTCCTTTAAATATAATAAATTCGCGCGGGTGATCTTTTTTTTATCTCGCGGGTTTAAAAGTTCCTTTAATCGCCTCATAGGGAATATCTCTCGCTCTCATGCATCATGTCTGTGTGAATCAAAATTCCCAACTATCTGAATGCAATAAGCAATTAGCGCCTACGTCTGAGAGTCAAACCTACTCTAAAAGATTCATTTATATCATTTATAATATGCAAGAGGATTAAAAAGTAATGCTGCACATTAAAGGTAAACCCCAAAAGTAACAGTTCTACCTGCAGTTAAGGGAAGTGAAAGGGACGAGACTATGACAGAACACGAACGATCCGTTAGATTTCTTATAGAAAACAAGCAAAAAATATAAACACTGATCAGACTTTGTCATCTTTGACTCCAGACTGGTCTTAAATCTGTAAGAGTGTATGAATTAATTCAAAAGTGGATTCTTACCTCAAACATAAGACCCAGCAGAAACACCATAGCAACACAAGACACAATATCCGCATGGTTCTGGATCACAAACTCGTGGCTGAGCATCGGTGGGTTCTTGTTGGTCTTTTTTCGGATTCCCATCTTGGTGGATGTTGAGAGAACTTTTGGTGGTGAGTGTAAGTGAGTGAGGAACACGTCTTCACTATTGTTATCTGGCAGGCACGTCAGTCTTAACGCCTACTTCTGTCTTTCTTCTTCCACCCCATTTTTTTTCAGTTTAACGCACGTTGTACAGTGACAAAAGATGCAGTAGCGCCATCCGTTGGACTGGAGTAAAGAAGACGTTTTATTCATTTTGAGGTCAAGGGCCCTTTTTAGTGCATAGAAATGAGGATAATAGTGAAATTAATGAATAAAAACAAAAAGAGATACATGTTTATTTAATTAACATCGTCATTATTACCAGACAGTAAAATCTATTATTTAATATGTGTATTTGTGTATTTAGGCCTACATACCATAGTATATCATTACTTACATTGCAAAGACATTAAAGGGTTAGTTCACCCAAAAATGAAAATTCTGTCATTAATTAATCACCCTCATGTCGTTTCACACACCCTGCATAGACAGCAACGCTACTACCACGTTCAAGGCCCAGAAAGGTAGTAAGGACATTGTTAAAATAGTCTTTGTGACATCAGTGGTTCAACCTTAATTTTATGAAGCTACAAGAATACTTTTTTTGTGCACAAATGGTCATTAATAATTTAATAAAGTCATATACTTATGTTATTTTGTAAGAGGGAACTTGAAACATTCAGCTGAATGTCAGCTGCTTAACTTTAGCTTTTCTTAAAGTAAACGTAATATTTACACACACACACACACACACACACACACACACACACACACACGCACGCACACGAGCGCGCACACACACACACAAACTTTTATGTAATATAATATTAATATACATTATATCATATTTTATTCATTATGTATGTATTATTATTGTCATAATTAAGACTTTTTTTTTAAGAATTTGCGTTTGTTCACCAATGCTGCATGTATTTTATAAACAATAAAGTAAAACAGTAATATTGTAAAATATTATTTAAAAAAAAACTGTTTTCTATTTTAATATATTTTAAAAAGAAATGTATTCCTGTGATGCAAAGCTGAATATTCAGCAGCTATTACCCCAGTCTTCAGTGTCACATGATCCTTCAGAAATCATTCTAATAGGCTGACTATATTTTATTCATTCTTTTCATAAAAATTAGTTCACAAACTGAGATCAAGCAATAATTGTGGATGCCCTGCTAATGTAAGATGGTGTTGTGGCATGTATTCTGAATCAAGTGTTTAAACAGGTCGCTTAAATGAGTAAAAATGGAGAAAACTATTTAATGACAAACCAAAGAGAATGTAATCAACGAAAGGAGATGCAATGACCCCAACGACTTTGTAACATGAAGTACAGTTATTTGGAACTCTGTTTCATTCTGTAAAACACGTAAAGCTGCATACCAAAACAGGCATTTCCTTATGTTTCATTTTTTGTTCACACTAACAACAGCCAAACACACATAAATACAGGTCTTTGCCAGCATGTGGTTAGACGGTAGTTAAGTGGTAGTTTCAGATTAGGATCTCAGCAATGAAGAATGTGCGGTTATTTCCTGGTTTGAAATAATAGGAAGGCTGAGGAGATTGAAAATTGTGAGTATTATAGTTGTGAGAATGAAATACATTTCTTCTGTATCCAGAGTGTCAGGGAATGAATGATTGCTGTATTTGTTCATTGGTCCAGCCCTTGCATATATCTAAAGAAGTATTTGGGTGTGTGTTACATCACACAGTAACTGTAGGATTAGCTCAGAAAGGGAGTGGTTTGTTCTGTCATATGCATTATGAGAAATCATATGGTCTAAACCAGAGACTCGTTGTCACTGCTGATATGAGCAAGCAGAAGAATGGAAACCCTGGTAAGTTCCGAATGACATTTCTTACAATTTGAACATTTCCTGACAGCTACTGAGAGTAAATGTAAATTACACTCGGGAGCATTGTAAAGTGACAGTTTATGGTTTATCTCAAAACAACAGCATACTGTATGATCATTGCTCACTGCCGGATAATGGTAAGTTCCGAATGACATTTCTTACAATTTGAACATTTCCTGACAGCTACTGAGAGTAAATGTAAATTAATATTACACTCGGGAGCATTGTAAAGTGACAGTTTATGGTTTATCTCAAAACAACAGCATACTGTATGATCATCGCTCACTGCCGGATAATGAAACTTAGCAAATGAATTTTGTCCTGATGTCAAATTTACTTTACAACATGAAAACAGTAAGTACTTGATTTATGTACTTTCAGGATGTTTTCTTTAAAATAGTACATAACAACATGTTGCATTTATATTATGTAAATTGCACATAGACCTGGGGGGCCAGTTGCATAAACTTAGCCTCTATGTTAAGACAGTGTCTTAAGTTCATATATATATATATATATATATAAGGAGCAAAAAAACTGTCATAAGTAGCACATGTATATTTGTAGCAATAGCCAACAATACATTGTTTGGCTCAAAATTATCAATTTTTCTTTTATGCCAAAAATTATTAGGATATTAAGTAAAGATAATTTTCCATGAAGATATTTGATAAATTTCCTACTATAAATATATAAAAACTTCATTTTAGATTAGTAATATGCATTGCTAAGAACTTCATTTGGGCAATTTTCTCAATATTTAGATTTTTTTTGCACCCTCAGATTCCAGATTTCCAAATAGTTGTATCTCGACCAAATATTGTCCTATCCTAACAAACCATACATCAATGGAAAGCTTATTTATTCAGCTTGATATAGATGATGTATAAATCCCAATTTAAAAAAATTAACCCTTATGACTGGTTTTGTGGTCCAGGGTCACACACACACACACACACACACACACACACACACACACACACGCGTTTGTTTCTGTGAATTTCTTTCCATAGACATCTATTACTTTTATACTGACCAAACGATATTTTCTATCCCCTAACCCTAAACCTACCCCTTACAGAAAACCTGTTTGCAATGTTACACTTTCAGATAAACATCGTTTACTATTTTTAATCATTTTTTCCCTTGTGGGGACCGCAGGCACAATGTCAAAAATTTCAG